AAATAATTAATACTTTACCAGGAACAGTTTTATAAATGGTGTTTTGATTTAAATACTATAAACCGTAAAATTTTTACTGCTAGAAATTTTCACAATTTCCTAATTGCACAGAATTCATAAAGACGAAATTTACAAAAGTCACTGATGCTACATGTCATAGGACCCCAGTGAAATTTTTATGAGTTTATGGCATTTGTGAAGACGAAAATTTACAAAAGTCACTGACAGTAATTGTTGTAGAACACTCTCACTGCTGCAAAGTGTTTGTGATTTTACTATTGAATATTTTATTTCAACAATCAAAGGAGAAACGGTCGCTAACATTCAAACATGCTGAAAATTAATTATTAAAATTTGAAATTTTAGGTTGTATTTACTGCATATTTGTGATTTATTAAATTTTTTTAAATGATTTCATTCTATTATTTTGGCATGGTGTCATATCTACATTTGAATATCACAGAAGTTTTACTATGAAATGTGATCCTGACTTGGACGTATTATTGTTTGTTTACAGTTAGAAGAGACATCTAAAAAACAGGGTGAACTAGAACATGAAATCATGTTACAGAAGAGTCTGAATTCTGGTAAGATTTCACATTATATTTATTCTCACCACAGTCTTGTTAGTAAAGACTTGTATTAACATGTATAGTCCTACCCTGTTCACTAGTCTTGTGCTCACGTCATCAGCCATTATACAAAAATTCTTCTTTACATCTCTTCCAAAGGGGATTTTGATTATAACATGATCTAAATCTTACTTCAAGCTGATCCAATTTCTTTTGAGTTTAGTGCTGAGCTCCTTGTTAGGTACAAAGGCAAATATTCAAATATTTGAATATACAAATATTCACTCTGGTGTCCAGAGAAGAAGCAGCCAACACGCCCTCTTTCAGGAAAACATGTCACTCAATGAATTATTTATGTTATTACATGTAATAATAGATGCTGCTGAGTCCAGAAGTACACTAAATCAACCAAAAAACATAATTTTTGTCCTGATGACTTCAAATCTTATCTGGGGTCAATCAACAAAAAGGGGAAACCCTCAAACAGACTGAATGAAAGATTTCAATCCAACAAATGTGACTTTAGAGGGAAATTTTGTATATGTCCACTGGTGCATGTGGATTGAATGGGCCTCAGATAATGCATTATATTGCTTGGCAAAAAAAAAAAAAAAAAAAAATGAATTGGAAATATAAAAATTGAAGAAATGATCTTCTATATGTCACATTGTAGATCATTTACTGTTATTCACAAGATGGCCACTAGAGGGCGCTAACCTGCCACCTGTTAGAACATTGTAACTGATAGTACTAGTTCATGGTATAACTCAGCATTGTATTCAAATGATGTGTATTTGAATTGTTTATATATATTATTATATATAATTATTATTACAGTTCACTAATCACTGGTTTGTCAGGGTAATTTCTAAAATAAGTAATAATGACACTGATGGGTCATGTCATTCACTTTCATGTAAATCAATCTTGACAGCGCTGTTTACGGCATGTAGTCAGTATGAATTTTGCCATTGTTAGTTTTTCCAACATTGACAGTAATATTATATTTTCTGTTACCTTATGAGGTTTAGCAGTGAATATAGTACTTTCTATTTTTGATTTAACCATGTGTGAATCAATCATTTTGTTTGTTTTTATTTTGTGTTCTTCAACTGGTAAATTCTACTTGATATCATGCAACTGCAAATTTTTTTTTTTAAATTCATCGTAAAACACTTCAAAAAGCAGGTCAGAAACAATTATAATGGCATTTGTTGCAATTAAAGTTCTTTGTGACGGTAAATAACATCAGACAGGTAATTGGATCGTCTTTTCTGCATTTTTTCCCTGTAATAGAATCCTGATACATTCAATCCCTACACTCTACATTTTAAGTCTTCTCATTGGCCACTGTGGTAATCAAGACCCTCTAAGTGCATTTAAATTGACCTATGTCATACATTTGTCATGGCCTGTGGTCATTTTAAAACTCCTTAAGCTATTGTTAATTAATGTTATTTTGTTAAAGTCAATAATACCCCTTAGGGCAGTTGTTAAACAAACTTTATTATGCTAGTTAAGCATACCTGTGGAATAGTGTATGGTAACCATGGAGGTGAGTCTATGACGGCAAGATAGTTCAAAAGGTCAGTTTGAATAACTTCTGTGCGTATGTCTCATTCATTAATCTAAAGTTTTATATAGAGTACTCTCCATTCACTGTACATGTATTTGTGACTAAAATTCCAATCTTGCTGGGTAGGTGACTTGTAAACCACATAGAATTTGATATTAAGCATAGCTGGTGTCATTTTAAGATAATTATTCTCAAAAAAGGAAAGAAAGATGTTGTTTTTGTTATTTATTTATTGTGCAATGTTTGTGGAGCTGTTATTTCAAAACTTTTGATACTGTTTCAGAAAACTATGCACCTAGGACAATTGACAATAGTTATTGTTTGTTGGTTGCTTTGTCTGAATGGTGACAGGTATTATCTGTTCAATGTCAGATCACCATGTACTGGCTCTTTAATTGTCCATTTTAATTACAATTGTAATTACAACAATACCACTCATTCACAGTCAAGTTATGTCTAAGTGTTACTGAATTGAATTTCATTATAGGGGAATTTGGTTTGAAGCTTCACAGTAAATTAAATTTAACCAGCAACCTGAATTAATGTTATATATAGTTTATGTTATATCATGAAAATTGACTTTGTAATCTTTGTCTTGTAATCATTAATAGCTCACCATACCACAACATGTATCGGTGGTTTGGCATAATTCCAATTAATAATAATAATAATAATAATTAAGAGTTTGTAAAGCACCTAATATCCATCAAGATGATGCCCAATGATGCTGTCAGTTCACAGAAATACTCTCTGAAATATATAAGTTTTGAGTTTAGATTTGAAAATGTTTAAACTGGCTACAGAACGAATGTCTGTTGGTATGACGGAAAAGCATGCGAAAATGAGCGATTGCCATATGTCTTGAGTCTTGAATTGACTGAGTGTACTTCATATAAAAGGCAGATGATAGGTTTGAAGTCTTACGCAGCAATGTAAATTATGAAAACATTAATTCTGTCAATTGCTGGGCATTTCTAATTGAAAAAAGTTGTTCAGTCGAATATAGGCATTGAACTGTTTACTGTCAACTCATTTATTATTTTCTGGTTTTTAATGTTGCTATATTCACTGATATGTAAAACTTACTATTAAAATTAAATCCTTGTACAGTAATAATATAACTCATTGTTTTCCTGCTAAGTTCTTAAACTTAAAACCCAGTGATTTTCCTCAAAACATCAAAATAGTGAAATTAAATGCCAGTAATACATCACAGTTTCCTTGTTGTTAAATTGATATAGTAACCATATTTAAATATCATAAAAGACATAATAGGAATATCTTATGAACATTGAACAACAAAGTCATCTTTTGTCATGTTTAACCCTTTGAAACGCTATAATTTTGCACATCTTTCTATAATTTTTGAAAAACAATTACATAATTTTTGAGTGATTACATTTCTTGATCAAAATTTCTGTAAAAGTTATTGATAATTTTGTACACATTTGTAGTTTTTTTTGTATAATGACAAAAGTTGACTTCGGCATTCTTCAAAGAGTTAACAAAATTAACTTTTGTCTGGATTTTTTTAAAACAAATTTTATTAGGACTGAAGGCAATTTCTGTCCATTTTATAATCTAAAATAAAAAATAAATTTACAAAATGTGCAAAATTAATCATGTAGTACCGGTAAATAAAATAATGAAAAAAATAAATTAATTATACTGTTAAAGCATTAATTTTTCACTTGGTTTCAATTTCGTTGAAAATTGAAATGGAATCTACGTGAGCATGTCAGATTACAATAGAAAGCATTGTTTCACTGTAAATCAGTGAATTTATAAACCACTGATTATAAATGCTTAAATATTAAATACCAGTTAAAATTAATGCTTTCACAGTAATTACTCTAGCAATATTAATAAATATTAGTTACTGTATTAATTATTTTACAGTATGTACATGTAGAATTGAATACTATATGGCACAGTTTCAGTATGATATTGAGCTCTGCGTGTTCGGTTGTAATTTGATTCCAGAGACCTTAATAAGCTATATTTGGTTTTTCTGTCTGAATTGTTAGAATCACTGTGTTCTATGCACTTTGTATGTGTACATATCTACTGGATTTATGAATGACAGTCTTGACCCTCTGCGTTTGGTGAAGTTTCTTGAGTAGAGTGACAGTTGTCATGCAATGTACAGCATAAGAAGCTTTCTAACAATAGTTATTGTTATGCTAATGAACTGATTCTTTGATTGCATTTACCATAGTACAGTTGTATAGGTTACGATGAACATCTCTATATTTTAAAAGGTATGCTTTGTTGTGAGTCGTTTACCTGGTGGATTGGACGTGCACTGCTAGGAACGGTCAGACAGGCAACACTGTCCATGAGGATTCAACTGGATGTCTGTTTTAATATGTGCTTTGTTCGCATGTTATGTATGGAGTATTTAACTCTGTGATTATTTCTGAAACTTGGTCATAAATACGTTGATCTAATTGTGAGATTATGGAAGAGGAAACTATATGTAAGGTGGTGCCACCCGGTTTTGAAGGTGAAATTAGCGAAACTACAGTAGTTGAGTTTAGAGCAGAGGAGCCCGAGGTAGACGGAGAAGTGGTTTCCTCTGAGGAGTTAAGCCAGGTTTCTGTGATCAAAGCAGATGAAATGCCATCTGTGAATAACAGTGTTGTCGATATGGCATCCCCAAAAGTGGATAAAGTTAATGAAAGTGCAGGTAAAATTGTTGAAGCAGATGCTGTGGCGGTTGACACAGGTAAAACATGTGAGAATGTACATGTACCTATGAATGGTGAACTGGATACAGGTAAAGAGAATATAGACTTTGATTTTATGTACAAAACATATATCTCCTGGGGATTGGTTTATGTGTGTCTGAATTATATAGTGTTCATATTTTGCTGCTCTCTTGTTATCATGTTGTGTTTCAGCAAATTAGTATTACAATTCTGCACATCTGTCCATTGACCAATCACATGTGTTACTATTTTGCACATCTGGCTATTGACCAATCACATGTGTTACTATTCTGCACATCTGGCTATTAACCAATCACATGTGTTACTATTCTGCACATCTGTCTATTGACCAATCACATGTGTTACTATTCTGCACATCTGTCTATTGACCAATCACATGTGTTACTATTCTGCACATCTGGCTATTGACCAATCACATGTGTTACTATTCTGCACATCTGGCTATTGACCAATCACATGTGTTACTATTCTGCACATCTGTCTATTGACCAATCACATTTGTTACTGTTCTGCACATCTGGCTATTGACCAATCACATTTGTTACTGTTCTGCACAAGTGTCTATTGACCAATCACATGTGTTACTATTCTGCACATCTGGCTATTGACCAATCACATGTGTTACTATTCTGCACATCTGTCTATTGACCAATCACATGTGTTACTATTCTGCACATCTGTCTATTGACCAATCACATGTGTTACTA